GTAATATCCTACATGACGATTTGTGATTTAATGTATTAATGTGATAATTTTATCTTATCTCATATATCTAATTACTAACTACAACATTTATGTTACGTAACACGATTGCAATAATGAGTGACTGTAAACAACATTATCCATATACAAGTCAACAATTCTAGTGTATTTCTTTTTCCAGCAGACAACTTCATTAATTATGGCCCTACTGAAGCGTAACACGAAAAGAGTTGCGCTAGACTGGCTCCAATGCAATTGGGGTTTTTGGGGCGGGCACGCGTCCTTCTTGACATGGCCCTGTCCATCTAGAATTATTGAAATGAAAATGGCTTTTATCTCATATTAATGAATCTCAAACAAGGTACAAGTACAATGTGTGTTAGAGATTTTTTAAGAATAAATTTTTGTGAAAAATAATTTTTTTAAGATGTGTGATTAAAAAGTAAAAAAATGAATCCACTTGAAAAATTATATCGTTCGAAAAATGTGTAGTTTAAACATAAGTTTAAAAAATGAGGGCAAGGCCTAAATAAAATTAGGTGTGTCGTTACTCTTCTTCAACGTCAAGATTCATGGAATGAACGTAAGTCAAGCATTAACACGTACCAAATGGCCCTTTCATCGACAAGAAACATAGACAAAAAGTATCCTAATATATTCAAATATTTAGGCCCCGTTTGGTAGCCCTTTTTTTCATAATGCATTTTTCTCTCTCTTATTTTCAACCATACATTCTTTATTAAAATAATATTACACGTAAATCAAAAACTTTTTCCCTATTTTTCAACCACACATTTTACATCAATTTACTATTCTAAAATATATTTTTACATAATGCATACCTTAAAGCTTTTGTTAAATTAATAGGTAATAGAGTTTTTCCACCAACACAGAATTGCCAACTGGCAATTCGGTCACCCAGAATGTCATCCTAGGTGTGAAAGTAGCAAACTTTAGGTAATATCATAGTTTTAGATTTGACTCGAACGCTAACTTAGATGAAGAGGAAATGTCACTGGATCAATGGTTCAACCTCTAATCTAATGGTTGAAGGGATAAATCAACTCATGTCAAATATAATAAGAATTATTTTTATAATATAAAAGTTAGTAATAATAATCATAATTATTTACTAATATAATCCTAATTATTATTATTATTATTATTATTATTTTCAATCTTTGCTCCAAAACATGAAAAGATAAAATATTTAAAAGATGAAGTAGAAAAAATGGTTAGCAATGAGAAAACAATTAAAAGAAGTGAAAAATGAAGTGTAGAGTGTCATGCAGCTATTCAAATGCTAAATAAAATCTGAAAACTTTAATTAACAAAAAGCCGACGGTTAATGTGTTTGGTTCAGAGGCTTTAATAAAAATTGAAAATATATTATTATTCCTTTTATACTTTTTATTAGTAGTCAAGTATAATTCTTTCACACTGTAGAATTCAAAACCCATTCATCACCCCTCACCCATGAGATGATCATCTATTAAGTAACATAAAAGGATTTGTTGAGTTTAACATTTGTTTTAGAAAAAATAAATAACTAACATAAAAAGGTTTCTATCAGTCTTCTTAACCTGATTAGCTTTTGTAAATCGAAATCCGAATCTTAATATATATTTCTATGTGATGCAACAAAAATATTAGCACAAACACAAGTACTACACTTCCCTGACTTGCAGTGATAATAAAAATATTTTTTTCTGTATATATTAATGCTTAGAAATAAATTACTACAAAGGATTGATGGCGATATCTGCAATTTTTAATGTATTACAACAGTTAATAAGCACGGATCTTCAGTGACTCAGGTAGGATGTCAATTTAGCTCGTTGACTCAGGTTGTCCGTAGCTCGAAAAAAAAAAAACTCGAGCTGGCCCGGCTCGAGGCTCAGGCCGAGCCCCATTTTAGGGCATCGGCCCGAGCTTGAGCCAGCGAGCCACAAGCTCACGTACCTTAAAAAAATGGAAAAGGCAACAGTTGGCTGCCTTAAAAAGATAGCATGGTGCTGAATTTAAGGTAGTAGTTTTTTTAGCTCGGCTCGGCTCGAAAATGCTCGAGTCGAAAGTTTAGGTCGAGCCTAAATTTTTTGGTTGAGAAAACGCTCGCACAATTTTACTCGAGCGGAGCCCAAGCCTTGAGTTTTGACTCGCAAGCCGATTCAGCTCGTTGACATCCCTAGACTCGTGCAATTACGTTGTGTTACAATTATGAGAATCAAATAGAACCAAAAGGCTAAACAGCGAGGAAAATTGCAGTATCAGCTTTCAACCCAGCCATGTAATGACAAAGAAGTCACCATTCTATTTTTCTTATCATTTTAGTCCTCTATTTTTAGTTTTACGTGGCACCGTGGTTCATAGTTAACAAAAACTACCCAATTGACGGCGAAACATGCAAACCAGTCTCATTCCTAATGGATCACACCACAAACAAATGATTCAACCACCTAACCTTCACTAAAACAATTAATTTTGTAAAAAATAAATTTTTGAATAATGTATAGTTAAAAAGTAAGGAAACCTTATGGATGGATCCACATGCAACTTATTTGATTGGAAGAATGTGATTGAAAGTGTGTTTCAAAAAAAAAAAAAAAAATGAATTTTAAAAAATGAGAACTAAACATGACCTAAATAAAATTTGTTGTTACTCTTCAACAAGGGAATTCAAGTAATGAACGAAAGTCGATCATTAACACGTGCTTAATGGCCAATATATAGACAAGCAAATGGAGAAAAAAACATATCCCAATATAATCAGATATGTAATTAGTTTGGTAGGCCACAAATTATAATGAACTGGGGCAGTTTTATGAAATGCATACTGATAAGTATATTCTGTATACCTACTTAATTAGGCCATTAAATTGGGATATTTATTGTTGAATTGAATGAATTATAATTTTGTTATGTGTTAATTATATTTTTTAGATTGAACTTAATGTAAATTGGTGAAATTTGAAGAAAGGAACAAGAAACGAACGAAAATGAAAGAAATTCAAAATTTGGAGACTAAAATGAAAAGTTTCAAAAGTTATGCTCCAAAATTTCAATCGTAAATTGAGACCCATGTTTCGCATAATAAACGTTTGAATTAGGAAAAAAAATGATATTTCTAAAATACATATAGCTTTTTGAGTTGGCTTTTTAATGTACTTTGAATCGCCTCAATCAAAGAACAATACCGACGATTGCTTAGAGATGGCCTGCATGTGAGCCTGTGTTCCAGCCAACCCAAGATTGAATCGGTTACATGGCGTGCGCGCTTTGTTGTTTTCAACCCGAACTCATTTAATTCCTGTTTTGATACAAATTCTATTGGGGATATAATTCTAACCCCTATTTAAGCAACTATATGCTCTAAGAGACGAAGATACAACATAAAACACCATAATTACACCATTAGGAAGAGGACTAGCATGCAAATCCAGGGCAATTAACAGAAAGATTGAAGATCCAAATCTGAAATCGAGATTCAAGAAGATAAAGTAGACTTTTCATACTTCTTTCATCATTGTCAATTTCGGGTGATAGTTTTTCAATAATTTTTGTGTAATTTACAAATCATCATGCTAGGCTGATTCCTCCTATGTACTCATTGAGATAAACCCTTTATTTAAATTAAGACTAGTAATTTAGTTAATTCTTGCGCTTTTTGATCAATTGCTTGTTGTAATACTGAAAAGTTCACAATAAGTTCAGAATACAGCAACATTAAAACATAAATAAAAGATGTTAGGAATAACAATATCACGTGTACAATCATCTAACTAATCGTGTAATTTAATGTATTCTAATCATTCGAATTCAGACTAGAAATTTTTGGATCATGGTTAGAATAAATTTAATTTTATCTTAAAAAAATTATATATAATAATGTTATCGATAATCAAGAATGCATGAACGAAACTAAATTGTATAATAAAAAATTAAGGGGGTGTTTGATAGTCATTTTTATGTAAAAATGTATTTTAGAATAATAAATTGATGTGAAATGTGTGGTTGAAAAATAAGGAAATTTTTTTTATTTGCGTGTAATATTATTTTAATAAAGAATGTGTGGTTGAAAAGAAGAGAGAGAAAAATGCATTTTAAAAAAAATGGCTACCAAGGCCTAAAGTAGACAGCAATATGTGAATTCAAATTCCAATACAATCATCAACAATTTGATATAAACAAACACTTGTTACATATATATTAGATTAACTTAGCATAATCACAAAGTAATCTCTTTTGTATTACATGATTCGAATTATATACAAAATTAGTTCACTTAAAGTTGAAGTTTATTCCTTGTGGAATAATAGATTTTCTCATCACATTTATTATTTGTCAACAATCTAGTACGCTCGATCACATACTTGCAATAGAGTTCTTAAATATTTGTAGGTAATATCATAGCTTTTATATTCAATTCGAATGCTAACCCAACTGTAGAGGTTGGTTATTGAGTCAATAGTTCAACCTCTAATCTAGTGATTGAATGAGTAAGTTATCTCATGCCAAATATAATAAAAATTATTTTTATTATATAAAAGTTAGTAATAATAATTACTGTTTCCTAAATTAATCCTTAAGTTTATTTATTTATTTACTTTTTTTTAATCTTTGCTCTAAAACTCAAGAAGATGAAAGGTTTAAAAGATGAAGTAGAAAAAGTAAGGATTTGTTTTCTTCTTTCTTAATTATATTAACGGTTCAATTCGACTTTAAATGATTCGTAAGTACCGAAAATTTAAATTGAACTATTTCTAAAAGATTTGGCGGATTTAGAAACCTACACGGTCATGGGTCCATGTGGACCCAAATCAATGGTCTGAAAATAACAATTTCAGTTCGATTTTGTAATTTGAGAGTTTTTAAATGTCAAGAAAATATATTAGAGACTGATTTGCTAATAAGGCAATAGATTGAAGACAAACACTGCAATTTCCTCCCAAAACAAGTATAAATTCACTGCCTTCGCTAACACTTTCCATGCAGCATAGCACAGAACAAATTGAGAGAGCTTGTTTGGGTGTTCTTAAAAGCATTTTAAAAAGTACTTTTTTGCGCAGTATCACAATAGCCTGCACGGAATAATCAGCATTCGCAGCATTTCCATATATGATCAAGTACTGAAGTACTATAGCTTATCAGCTGTAACGTGCACCATGTTGAAATGTTATCAAATTATATCTACCATTTATGCCAAAATTAACACATACTGATACCAATTAACTGTATAATATTGGTTTTCTTGATATCCTTCCAGGTCAGCTGGTAGAAGAAGACTAAGGACGGATAAAGCAATGAGTTCGAGAAATGAAACGGATCCAGAACTAAAACAAAAACCGGCCAGGGTTGATCGGTCAGGTTCGTGCGTATTCTCGAATACTCGTGTTTATAAACAAGCCAGCCACCGTTGAATATATATCATATATTAATTTGGAAGAAATGATTAAATTGAGATAATTGGTCGATTGATAAAATGAGTGGAATTTACGTGAGAGGTCGATACTTTAAAACATACTTCAAGTGAGTATTTATAAGTTTTATGATTGGATCGTGGACTTCTTTGATTTTGTATTATAAATATGTTGTTGCTATTGTTTATTTTAGTTATTTCCAAATTTATTTCTGTTAAAAACTAGCCAGTAAAATTAAATATTTAGAGAGAGTTATATATATACAGTAAAACAAATTGTTAGAGGCACTTACGGAGTGATTTAAATTCTAAAGAGAATAACTAAACCTACAGTTTATTTTATTTTATTTTATTAATTTTGAATTATCATTGTAAGTTATTTTTTGTGGGCTATATATACCCTTCGTTTTCTTGGAAATTATACAAAATTTATCTTATGCACTTTATGAAAATTTTGGTTTATAATAATTTTGTTGAGATAGCGGTCAAAGATAACGGCTCTATTTTTGCTTAAAATTTGTTGAAGAAGCAACTCCTGACAAGGTATAGGGCCTGTTTGGGCCCGATTTTTTCACCCAAAAAATTGATTTTTTGACCGTTATTTCACCATTTCAGCCGTCATATTTGACTTCTTCTCTCACAGGTAGACCCCACTTTTCTTCTAACGGTCAAAAAATCAATTCTCAAAATCTCTCCCAAACAAGCTCTAGTCTTGAAGTAAAACTAGAGTTTTTGGATATCTCTTGTTATTGTGATTTGATTGTTAAATTGCGAGAGATTGTCTCATAGCAATTAATAATGAACAATTTCAGTTTAAGACGTTGTACTGTCATGAATCTCGATCAATTGATTAGTCTTTTTTTACTTTTTGCATTTTAATTGTTATTCTAAAAAGGTATCTGCAACTAATTTTTCTACAATTACAGCACCAGAGGCTGAGGCACCCATTGTGGAGCTACCAAGCAGGCCCAGCCAAGTTGAAGTCAAAGTTGAAAGTCCAATTTCCTATTTCAATGTCCAACAGGGTAAGTTTCCGATTTTCATTTTTGTAATGTCACGGATCTCTCTCTCTCTCTCTCAATGTCCAACAGGGTAAGTTTCTGATTTTCATTTTTGTAGTGTCACGGATCTCTCTCTCTCTCTCTCTCCATATATATATATATATATATATATACATACACATATGTATATATATATATATACACACACATATATATATACACACACACACACACACACACACACACACATATATATATATATATTTTTTTTTATTTTTTTTTATTTTTTTTTTTTTGCCATTTTAATTGCTGTTTTAAAAAGGGTATCTACAAATAATTTTTCTACAATTACAACACCAGAGGTTGTCGAGGCAACCATTGTTGGGCCACCAAGCATGCGTAGCCAAGTTGAATGTCCAATTTCCAGTGCCAATGCCCAACAATGTAAGTTTCTGATTTTCTTTTACCTTACCAGTTCTAGAGTCGATCAAATACATAGTAAGCGCATACCTCATCCAGTGGCGAGCCACAATTCCGTAATGGGTGGTAAGACATAACTTATAACTGTTCCTAAGTTATTTACGTGGGCAGCCACGTTAAACAAATCCAAATTATGATTTTCTAGCTGGAAATCCCTTTATCATGGTTCCGGGAGACTTTTATTGTGTTCAATGAAATTATTCAAATTATTTATAAAAAAGACACCAAAACCCGAGCCACACACGGAATTAGTCAGTAGACAAGTAGTTCAGTTCTGTAATTCAGTAGAGATGTTAATCCCTCATGTTTTCTATCCAATAAAAATTATTTATATCGATAGAAACACCCAATCCACAGATGGACACAATGGGTTACAAAAAGACACCAAAACCCGAGCCACACACGCAGGCAGCAACTGCACTGGCACGCAGCGAATCGGGCCGCACTGGCAGCGTTCCACCCTTCTCTTTCATTTTTTTTTTCACCCAATTTCTCACTACTTTCCCTTGTTGAAAAGTATCCAAAAATCATCCTTATACTTGTTGTTATGATTTGATCAAATTACAATGCTATGTGCCAGATTAGCTAAATCACTTTTTTCACACCTTGAATGGCTTCTTCGAGGGAGCCTGTCCTCCAACTGTAAAATACAGAATTTTTGGTGTCAATACCTATAGACATTTTCATTTAACTGCCAAATAAATACAGAATGGAAATGCAAGAAACGAGCCTACAAGCTCGGACACGTTCACACACGAACTCCTAATGCTCCACTAAGAGCTGACAACAAAAAGAAATTAAATAACAGCTCTATAGACCACGACTCCACGACTTGGACTAAGTTATATACAAATGAAAACAGAAATTAAATAAATACAGCCCTAACCAACTTCAGCAATAACCCACACAAACTGTCCCTGGCCCAACTTGTACATTCGACATATAGCAAACAACAGTAATAAGATGGACATTGTTGCATTAGACTTTGCAATACAAAGTTGATGTGCTAGTAAATATTAAGATTTGATTATGTAAGTGGATTTATCTCTACTTTAGTTTTATATATGTTACATACATTTATTTCTCGCCAAGTTGTGGAGCATCTTCCACTTTTAACACATATCTAATGATAGTTCTCCCCAAACTTCATCAGGTGAAGAAAGGAAGCTTCGTATGTATAAAGCTGCTGTAAAAGGAGACTGGAAGGATGCAGAACGTGTTCTGGAATCGGACAAAAATGCAGGTTGTCTTAAGCTAGCAGAAAGAGGAGATAGGCCTCTTCACATAGCTGCTGTCACCAAGCAAACTGCATTTGTCCGCAAGTTAGTCGAACGCTTGAACAAAGAAGACCTGATATTGACGAATAAATATAACGATACAGCTTTCTGTTTTGCGGCTATATCAGGGGTTGTAGAAATTGCCAAGCTCATGTACGAAAAAAATAGTATTCTGCCAACAATTCGAGAGAAAAACAAGTTGAGCCCAATTGAAATGGCAGCTTTGTCGGGAAAGGAAAAAATGGTTAAATATCTTTACAAAATTACACCTCTTGAAGATTTCGAGGCCGAGGAGCGCATGGACATTCTTGTTGCAACTATCAACAGGGAGATGTATGGTAGGGAATCTCTGTTCATGACTATGGGCAAGATGACAATGAAAATTATGTTTGCAATAGTTTCAGAATTGCTTTTCTTAAATGCAGATATCGCATTAAAAATATTGGAAGCAGATAGATATCTAGTCATCAAAACTCCAGAACCGAAGAAAGGAAGTGCCCTACACGCTTTAGCTCGAAAACCTTTGTCACACTATGGTACAATTCAAGAATGGCTATGTGAAAGACTTGCTAGAATCGTCCCTAGTGTTCCCTATAAGAACATTCTATTTCGTTTTTAACTTTCAACCAACAAAAAATTAAAAAATCAAGCTTAATTTTCCTGAAAATTTCTAGTTGATAGTAGACATTTATGTATTTACACCTTTCAACTCATTTATGTCCTTCCTAGTGTTTCTGTTTTGTTTTATTGTCTTCTGATGATTATTAAGGTCATTATACAATCACAAAATTATCAGAATATAGATTATTCTATTTTTAAAAGTAACTCATGCAAAATGCTAGTTTCAGGTTTGAGCTTTATCTGTGAATGATCCACTTATAGATTCATTTCACCTTTTCCTTAGATTTTCATTTTTTTTGGCAATGTAGTTAACATGAATTTTAGAAATAATTTAGCAAAGATTTGTAGGTTTCAAAAGGATATATGGTTCAATAATTCCAAAGCGAAGAAAAGCCAGTCAGTTGGCAGAGAAGCTGTGCGAACAGATTCTGACTTTAGAAGGCTCGAAAATTTCAAACCTATTCGACCAAACTTCTATACTTACCGATGCTGCAAAAATTGGGAATGTTGAGCTTTTGACTCTGCTTATCCGCTCCTATCCTGATCTTATATGGACAGTCGACAAAGATTTTTACTCCATATTTCATGTTGCTGTTATTTACCGACAAGAGGAAGTCTTTAATCTCATCTACTCCACAGGAGCTATTAAAGATTTATTGATGCTCAGAAAAGATAAATTCGGAAACAACGTTTTGCAGTTGGCCGCGAAATTACCACCTTCAAGTAGACTCAATAGTGTATCTGGAGCAGCTCTTCAAATGCAGAGAGAGCTACAATGGTTTAAGGTGAGAAATTTACTTGACTATCGAATCCCCTTTTCCCTTATCCCCTCAAATAAAAGGGGAAGACTTCATAGCATGACGGTGAATTGTATCATTAATTTCTTGTTTATCTTGAATGTGTGTGTGTGTGTGTGTGGATATATCCATGTTCTTAGAAGTCTCCAATTCACTATTCTACGTGATACAAAAATTAATTCCTCTTGTTAGAGTTAAAAATTTAATGATTATGCAATATACATTAATTTGAGTATGCTTTACAGGAGGTGGAGAAGATTCTACGGTCTCCCCCTCAGTCTTCCAATGTTCGGGAGGGGGAAAACTTCCATGAGACCGTTGCACCACGTGATGGTGCGACAATCCTATCATTGTGCGCCACCTCGTCGGGTGGCCCACCATACACGCTCGAGGTGTGTGGGCCACCCGTCGAGGTTGCACCTCGGCATTGGATCGTTCAGGAGGGAAAAAATGACGAGAAAAACCGAAAGTGCAAAACACCTAGGGAGTTGTTTACGGAGGAGCATGAGGGGTTACGGGAAGCTGGTGAGAGGTGGATGAAGGGCACAGCAACTTCTTGCATGGTTGTCACAACCTTAATTGCCACAGTTGCATTAAATGCATCATTTACATTACCAGATGGGAATAAGGTAGCTCACAACAGGTGGTTCACAGTTTTTGCTACATCTAATGCAGTGGCAATGTTTAGCTCGACAGCTTCCATAATGACGTTCTTGTCTATCTTAACTTCACGCTATGGAGAAGATGATTTTCTATATATATTACCAGTAAAGTTGATGGTTGGACTATTTACACTCTTTGCTTCAATCGTTTGCATGGTCTTAAAATTTAGTGCAACCTACTTTTTGGTCCACGAGGAAGAAAAGCCAGGGATATCACCAAAAATTGTTGCTGGTCTTGCTTTGCTTCCGATCACCTTATATGTAACGCTAAATTTTAGGTTATGGTATTCCGTATTTCGCTCAACAATCCGACCGTCAACGTTTATGTTCCGACCAGGTGAGCATGGGCTTTTTTAATAAAAGGAGCTACAATACTAGTTATCGTTATTAAGAAAAGTGGAGAAGCTTTATTGTACTTTGTTGTTGTATTTTCGAATAAAAGGCTTCGTTTAGCCTTTTGTTTTTCTAGTTGTTACTTTATTGTTGTTGTATTTTCTAATAAAAGGCTTTGTTTTTCGAGTGTGAAAAAAGTGGAGAAGCTTTCTCTTCTTATTAATTAGTCTTTGTATTCTTCTACATATATTTATAAATTAATATCACAACTATCATTGCAATCCAAATTAAATCAAGTGGAGTAGTTCACCAAAAACATTAGAACTCACATGCATTAAAATGAAATGACAAGAAATCACGAACGAATTCATCAGCGCTAACATGGATAGATCCACTGTTAATCAAAAGAGCAAAACGATGTGGGTGCTCGCTTGTTGAATTTCAATTAGCACGAAATACTACAGGATTGCTTTGCAATACCAGGGGTAGGAGGGAGCTGGCTGTACATTTTACCCAAAGCCAGTAGCCGGTGTGCGGTTAGTCTTATCATATTTGACGGCCATTGCCATTGCTGGAATATTTTGGGATTGATTATTCAACAATTTGTCAAGCATTGGTTTCTTCGTTCATTCTAATGTCAATGGTAGTAGCTGTCAATTTTGCACGCACATAGAAATGGGACATTTGCCTGCCAATGTTATTGCAGGTTCAACTCGTCTAATGCTCTACTACCAATAGTAGTAAAGTTAATAAAGACACACTGAGAAAATTTTCTCTTCCAAACATTATTCTTACAGTATTATGCCTCAATATATACTACAATACAATTGTGAAGAAAAGGAAATAATAAAAAATATTTCCTAACTTAGTTCTAATTATACCATACAATAATCCCATAATTGATTTCGGGATTTCTACACTCCCCCTCAAGTTAGATTATAGATATTGATTATATTCAGCTTACAGATAAAATCATCGAAAATTTGACTTTGTAGATATTTGGTGAATATATGTGCAGTTTGTTCTTTGGTAAGACCCTAGATCATACATATAGTTCCATTTTCAACTTCTTCTTGATAAACAGTCTGTCCACTTCTATGTGTTTGGTTCTATCATTTTGAACGGGAGTGAGTGAGACACTGATAGCTACTTTGTTATCGCAATAGATTAATTGGGAATTTCATTGTAATTTGTAATTCTTCAAAGAGTTTCTTTAGCCATAGTCCTTCGTATATTCCTTGAAAACTGTTCTAAATTCTGCTTCAGCATTGCTTTTGGCTACCACATTCTGTTTCTTACCCCTCCAAGTAACCAAAATTTTTCCACACAAAAGTACAATAACCAATGGTTGATCTTTTATTGTTCCTGCCCAATCTACATCAGTGAATATTTCTATCTCTCTTTTTTTTCATTTTTCTAAACATTAGTCCTTTCCCGAAAGAGCCTTTGAGATATCCCAGAATCTTGTATACTGCTTCTAAATGAGCTTTCTTTGGAGAATGTTATGTTGGCTTACCACACTTACCGCGAATGCAATGTTAGGTCTGGTATGTGCTAGGTAGATTAGTTTTTTAACCAGTTGCTAATATATGTCCTTTTCAATTGATTCTCCGACATTCTCAATTTTTCTTCCAATGTCAATAGGGGTGTCACTTGGTTTGCATCCCAAGCATACCAGTTTTAGTGAAGAGGTCCAGAACATATTTTCGTTTGTGAAATACTAATACCCTTCTTTGATCTTGCTACTTCCATTCCTAGAAAATTCACATTTGTGCTTATTTTTTACTTCAGATTATGCAGCTAAACCCTTTTTTAGTCTCTATATCTCGACTGCATTATCTCCAGTGAGGATTATATCATCAACTTATATGATCAGAATAATCTTTGTCTCATCTTCAAATACTCTGAACATCATAATATAATTTGACTACCCTTGTTGGTATCTTTGATTTTTCAATGCGTTTGCAAATTTATCAAACCATGCTCTAGGTGAATGTTTGAGACCTATAGAGATTATTTTCAGTTTGCATACTTTATTTTCTTTATTTTTATTGGAGAATCCAGGTGGTAGCATCATGTAGACTTCTTTTTCCAACTCCCCATTTAGGGATGCATTCTTAATGTCAAGTTGTTGAAGTGGCCAATCCAAGTTTGCTGCTAGTGGTAGGAGAACCCAAATTGTATTCAATTATGCAAGCGATGCGAATGTTTTTGTGTAATATATACCATAAGTTTGAGTGCATCCCTTTGCAACCAGGCAAGCTTTACACCATTCTACTATTTCACCTGCTTTATATTTCATATTAAACACCCAGTTCCACCTAACGGGTCTTTTCCCTTTTGGTAGTTTCATCACATCTCAAGTTTCATTTGTCTCCAGGGCTTTTATTTCATCCATAACTGCCTTTCTCCACCAGGAAATTTTCAAGGTTTCTTGAATATTTCTCGAAATTTCTGTGTCGTTAAGGTTAAATACAAAAACTCAAAATCTTGGAGATAGAGCTTTATAAGAAACAACATTTGAGATATGATGAAGAGTGCATGACCTAGTTTTTTCCTGAGAGCAATAGGTAAATCAATGTCATGTGATTTTGGAGAAAGCTCATCTAGAGCTATCATTGGTTTCGATTCTCTTAGTGCTTTGAGTGTGAGTTTGTCCTTATCCTTTGAATTTGGCATTTTTAAGTAAACTATGATCTCTTTGTCATGTTGTTCTTTCTGTTCTCTCCATGAGTTCAAATTACCTTCTATAAATGGCATAGTAGGGCATAGTGGTGTTGTAGGTTCAGTGTTCAGAAAAGATTCAAATGGATGAAGAGAGATTTCCAAGAATCAATCTTGACTTAAGTTCTCTCTCTGAAGGGAGGATTTTTGAAAGTAGGACTGTTCTCGAAGAAAGTGAAATCAAGACTGACAAATACCTTTTTCATTTTTCGATCGTAACATTTATACCATTTTTGTGTAGGTGAGTATTTAATGAATACATACTTAAGTACACGGGGCTTGAGCTTATTTCGGTAATAAGAATGTATATGGACAAAGGCGACTCTTAGAGGGAGATTGGAAGTGAGACCGGAGTTGGGGAAGAATTTCTTGAGTTTTTAGAAGGAAGTTTCTAAATTGAGAGTGCAACTATGCATTCTGTTCATGAAATAGGCTGATATTAAAATGGCATAGCCCCAAAAAATCTTGTTTATATTTGTAGTGAATATTAGGGCATTGGCTACCTCAAGTAGATGTCTACTTTTTCGTTCGACAACTCCATTTTGTTGGGGTGTATCGACGCATGAGCTTTGGTAGATTATTCCATTTTCTTGGGGATAGATTTTTAGTGTATTATTGAAATATTCTTTGTCATTATCCATGCGTAGAATTTGAGTTTTTGTCTAGAATTAGGTTTGAACCATAGAATGAAAATTTATGAACACAAAACGGACATCAACTTTTTTCTTTTAGTATATAGACCAATAGATTCGAGTATGGTCGTCATTGAACGTAATAAGCCATTTTGTGTAGGTACAATTAGGGTTCGTGATGGTTCCCATAAATCATTGTAGATCAAAGTAAATGGTTTAGATGGTTTGTACGTAGATTTTGGAAATGAAGAGCGATTATGTTTTGCGAGTTCAGAAGTTTCACAATTAAAATCAGAAGGTATTTTATTCGAAAATATTGAAAGAAATACATTTCTTAGATACTGAAAATTTGGATGACCCATTCTATAATGTCATAAATGAATTTCACTATTCTTAGGGACAAATGTAGAATCACAACTAACAAATCAACTTTCTTTACTCATATCAGTCTCGTCAAAGTAGTAGAGTCTCTTACACTCTTTAGTACTACTAATCGTCTTCCTCGATGATAGGTGCTAAAAAAACATAGTGAGAAGAAAAAAATCAGTGGAGCAATTTGAACTTTTTATTAATTGGCTAATAGATAGTAGATTACAGGATAGATTTGGGACATGTAGAACATGTTCGAGTGTGATTGAATTAGATATTCAAATACTCCATTTTTCAGCTACCGGAGAGAGAGACCCTCTGCAAATTTTGACTTTGAGATTACCAATGCAAGGTGAATATGAAGGGAATAAATGGTGAGAGTCTGTCATATGATCAAACACACCGGAGTCAATAATCCATGGTACTTTAGAGAGTGTGATGGTGTTTAAAGCTCTTAGGAAATTATTTCTGTAGGCTAAGATGGTTGACGAGCCAAATGATTGCTGGTTGGAAAACATTTTTTAGAGTTGTTCTAGTTGTTCAGAATTAAATTCGAAGTAGAGTTTTGTGTTTCGGTGGAATTGATTCTGGTTTGGAAGCTGTGATTTCTGGTGTTCTATCTTGGTTTTCAATCAGATGGTTTTTCAGACCCAGTTTTCTTCTTCAGCATAATCACCCAGTGACTCTCCTCTCGCCTTACTTCTACAAAGAGTCGCATGTGGTGGGGGCTGGCCGACGGCCAAGTTTTCGACCTCTCACATCATCTAGTTCCCTATTCAACCCAGCCAATAATTGATACACTAGTTCATCAATGCTAAGGTTCGATTCTTTCGAAAGGTAGTCATCTCCATGTAATACTTAGTGACGTCCCTTTCTTCTTTGCTTGGCCTACCACAGTTTAGCTTAAGATATGGGAAAAATCTCTTAGCGGCATCCAATAGATCCTTCGTAGTCACCATGAAGAGATAGATCTTGCCAATTGCCGGCTTCATCGAATTGACCAGCCAAGACGTCACCATGGAGTTCTCCGATTTTCATTTTTGTTGGAAGTTTTGCATCCATGGGTTTATTCGTATAGCCAGTAAGATACCCAATTTTTCCTTTCCTGTCAATCACCAACTTGATTGATTGAGCCCATTCTCTCAAGTTTCTCACCATGAGTTGGAAGGGGAAATTATCACTTCCAATTGAATTCACAGTATGGATGACTTTGGTTTCACGGACTCTATTTCAAAGATGGTCGAGTTCTTACTTTTGGCGGTGTTTCCACCATTACGAATCTATTTTGGGTTTAACCGTGCTCTAATACAATAAAGTTAATAAAGACACGGTGAGAAATAATCTTTTTTCTCTTCCATACATTATTCTTACACTATTATGCCTCCATATATACTACAATACAATTGTGAAGAAAAGGAAAATAACATTCTAACTGAAGAAAGAAAAACATTCCCTAACTTA